TTCTTTTATACGGTTCCTTTACACTTACCGCGAAGCGAACTATTATTTCTTGAGGGAAGAAAGACGTATTACATCGAGGAAATTGAATATACGACGAATTGCTTTGCCACGGAAACTCATTACGAGGGGAAACAGGTTCCAATGTCTTCGGCGAAGACATAAAACGGACATTGGAAAGCAACGAGGTAGTTTCCAAGTGGCGTCTGACGGGGTCGTGCTAGATAATTAGCAACGTTCAATTAGTAATCGCGATTGTCATCCAAATGCCTTGCCAGATGGCAGTGCGCATCACTCAGAGCAACCTAAAATATCGATTATAATGTAAAATGAGTTTGTATCTTGTCACGTGAAGTATCTATCGTGAAATATTAATAAACGTAGTCAATGAAATATTATATAATATTATATAATATTATATAATACAATTTAATATAATAAAAACATAGTCAATTTCATGAATTCAAAGATCTAATATCTAGATGGAGATTAACAAGTTTGAGTAAGTTTGGACAATTCTGTGGAATTGAAAAATTCGCAAGTTGAAAATTTATAGATACTTTTTAATGAAAATAATCTTGTTAATGAATATTTGAATGGTAATGCAGTTGCTAGACCTCTACATTATCGATCATTTGGGTTCCCTTACCACGAACCACGAGGGCGCCACGTACACGATTCTTTCTTATATTTGAAAATATTAAATTACAAACTTCTTTCCTTATTGCAAAAGGCAATTTGATTTTAATTTGAACATGGGTGATCAAGTTTATTTAAACAATTCGGATATATCATTGAATAACACAAACAATTATCTTCCTTGTAATTACTCTGAATTACAAATGTAATGGCAAAAATATTAATTAATTTAATTGATTTCTGAACCGGTATCCTCAGAATTTATTAATGGAAATTCCAAGCCTTTAGCATCGAAGAAATTTGAACCTTGAATCTTCAATAATCTATCGCGTGTTGTTATTGTATATAACTTTAATATATCATATCGAGTTATGTAAACGAGACTTGTTAACAAATGACGCAGTAAAGTCTCGCGTGTATCTTCTTTCATCGTTTTTTTATTCGAAGTTCCTTTATGCTGAATTGCGTTGTAAGATACGTGTTAGCCAATTGAACGATTACCTAAAAAAACTTCCAACGTCTATCTATGTTTGGTGCTTTAGCACGCGTGCATATCTGTCTTCATAAAAATTCCAGGATGTCGTTTTTACGATAAAACGTTTCCGTGGTAGTTGATAGAGTTCTTGTTTACTCGTATACTCGTTTCGTATCATTTCTATAATACAACAAACTCGTGTACACATGGTTTTTTTATACTGCAATGTAGTTTTATAGACTGACAAGCGCGCGATAGAAAATAAATTGCGCAACTTGCAAAGTCAATTATATACTTTATTATTTCGGTAAGGCGTAATTCAATATTTTTTTGTACGTGTTACTGTTTTCTTCTAATTTCATGGAATATATGTAAGATGTACTCATGTCAATGTACAGGGTGTTTCGGGTTTTTCCCGCCAAACTGCGACAGCTTATTCTAGGGACCAAAAGAAGAAAAAAATGTTACACGAAGTTTGCGAATTAACGCTTTGTTACAGAGATGTAATCACAAATAGATACTTAGTATTTTACTGTGAGTTTCAGTATTTCAGTCGTTCGTTTTCTTTGCACGAGCCTGTTTCATAATTGGAAATGAGTGTCGATTTTTATCTTTGGCGTACTTTGAAACAAAAGGTTTACTCGAAGTGGCTTCATACGAAGATCTTGTGCAGCGTATTAAAAAATGCAGCTATTGAAATGTAACAAGATACTGAGACACTCATAGAGCAATAAATTCAGTTTCTCATCGATGTCAAGCTTGTATCCGTGCAGAAGGAATCATTTTGAAACGAGACTTTAAAAACTAGCGAGCAATTATTTATCATTATTTGTTTATGTCTCCTTAACGAAGCGTTAATTCGCAAACATCATGTGAAGAATAAGCTCTCATCCTTTTTTGGCTGGGAAAAACCCGGGACACCTTGTATATGTGTTACATGCGTTGCATTTAAATGCTGAGCAGCTTTCAAACTGAAAGCGCAGGAACTTAAAAATTAGCGCCCTGTCGGCCAAACATGAAAAATTGGCCGCGAGAGAACTCCAATTTTGGCTAGCGTTGACACTTCGCGGGTTTCGCCTTTCGTTTAATGTAATTAAACGTAAATCAAGGTATGGTTCACTCGCGATAACACTCGTAGGGGCTCTGTTGTAACCGCAACAAGATTGCATCTATCAACAAACAGTCTTGTATGTACGCGCCGCGTTTCGCGTTACGTTCTCTCTAATTACAAAGACCGGCGTGCGAGTGAAATTCGACATCTCCAAGTTATTTTCATCGTTTCGATTGATTTCGCGCGTACGTCGTTTCATTCACTCTATTTCGCGGGTTGATGAATGAAAACGGAGGGAACAAGCGTAAAACGTGATCTCGACGGAGGTGAAAGAAAAGAAAAGAAAAGAAAAGAAAAGAAAAGAAAAAAAAGGGGAAGATCGACTACGTGTAGTCGGTGAACGTCACGCTTGAAATTTCTCCGGTGGTTCTCGCGCTCGTCGGTCTTCTTAAATGGATTTAATCGATTTAGCAGTCCGTCGTCTGATCCACGTGGGTCCTGACCCTCGACATCCATGACGTCAAGCTCTCGTCGCGGCAGCGGACGAGGATGGTTCTGCTGGTGGTGTTCGTGCTCCGTTATCTGGTTCTGCCCTGGCAGACGTGCTCGAAAGGTGAATTTCGTTCTGATAAGGCTTGTTTGTATACGATTTAATGATGCTATATTCTATGTGTGTGTGTGTGTGTGTGCTTGTGTGGTTTTCTTACTGACAACGCGCTTTCAACATCACATTACTGTAACCATTATTTTAACAAATTGATATTTTTACTGTAACATTGATCATTGATTCGTCAACGTATCAAAGTGCATTTAAAGAGATACAGAGACAGACGCGATGCAGTAGTCAATCAATTACATATCATATTGAGAAACTGAAATCGTCTAGAAGAAATCGTAAATATTTGGTTAACTTTGGAGGTCATTCTCGAAGTTGTTTGTTGCTCCAACGATGCAAATAGAATCATTTCCTTGCGCAAACGAGAATGGCGTGTGTCTCGTATAATTTCATCGATGATTGAAACGACATTACACAATCCTTGTAATTATTAATTCATTAATAACTAAATTCTTCATTTGTGTATTCATTTGAATCTCTCGTCGAGGTCTTTTAATCTCATTTTTGTTGATACCAATTTGAGAAAATAGTAAATGAACGTAAACGTTCCGGTACAGAAATAACCGTTTACAGCTGGCATTTGTTTCGAAATCATGTTGGTTAAGTAGACCTGTTGATTTCAGCGTTCTTCGCTGATCGATTCGCATGGAAACGTAGAAAGTGCAATTCGCACGCGAAAAATATGAAAAGCGAGGAATGGGAATTGGGCCAGTGGGTCTCGAAACTCTCGCGATTTTATTAGTCAGGACGAATAATAGATGCCGAAGAAGAAAAAAGAAATATTTTCACCCGCGTTATCTCTGACTCATCTTGCGTTCGATTCTTTTTTCCGTTTTCTCCGCGAGAGTGCGCATCAGAGTTTCGAAAACTTTCCCTCGACTTCGCTCGCGATTTTCTTTCATCTGATCGTATAATTTGACTTCACACCTTGTTACTCGCCATAAGTTTCAGAAAAGAAAATTAGAAAACTTCGTGTATTGAAAACGGTTCTCAGAATTAACAGCGGTGTGTCACGAAACTGTTCTTAAATCGAACTTCGAAAGCTTTCTCGAACTTGAAATTTTCTTGATTCTACAATCGATTGAGTGTTCCCTAAATTTCAAGATATTTGAGTTTTATGCAAATTGTAATTCTTGTGGCTACCTATTTAAGGTTGATCCAGTGGTGTATGTAAAATGAAAGATTTCGTAACTTGATCTTTTTTTAACGAAGCAAACGATCATTGGATTCGGAATGTCTGTATGTAAATCAGTCCAAGTTATTGTTGTCGGCATGTTACTTAGAAAATAACTAATTGCAATTAATTGTATTGTTTCCACGATGAAAAAAAGTTGACTAAGTGATATTGCTATATCTTCGATGGACTATTTCTTTGATTCAGAAACACCAGAAAATTTCGTGTTGAAGATTGTTGGAACAAAATCGATAAAATTGTATGCAGACGAAACAATGTTATCATCGGAAGATCAGATATCCATTTATCTACGATTTGAATGGCTCGACGATGACGGTTTGATTATTTCTGAGAAATTGTATTGCGCGACGATATAAATAATTATTCGTATAATGAAAATGGATCTTTAGCAACCGAGTAAATTAAAACGAAAAGATATTTCTCCAAAAATTAACAATTCAAGAATATACGATAACTTTAGCAACCGAGTAAATTAAAACAAAAAAGTATTTCTCCAAAAATTAATAATTCAAGAATATACGATAAATATTTCTCACGTTTCTTCGTTAAAGTTACGAACCAGTTCAGTGAAGCCATTTCTATTCATGATCATTTAACCCTAACTAAAAAATAAATTGTTAAGTGACAGTGAACATCTATGAAGGAAGTTAACACATCAATGTAATAACTAGTACATGTGCTTCGCAGTAATGTTAATAGGTAACGTGAATCATAGGACGTATCCTTCTAGTGATAACCTGCACGATATAGCATTGTTGTAAATTAAAGTGGTGCCGATTGAATAGCTGATACCAAGAGTCCTACGCATCAGAGTATATAGTCTATTTTTTTTCAACTTGATCGAATTGAAAATTTTAAAGAGTTAGGAAATTTGTAAAATTATAAAAAAGTTTGATCTCTTGATCAAGGTGACTTAAAGTAATGTTTTTATTTTATTGATATACGTATTATCGTATTGATATACAGATCTTACGCAGATTCAGTCTTCTTATCTACGTTACATTTTGACTAAATATAGTAAGTAAATAAGTACAGTAATTTTGCGAGATGTCGCTTCTTTGAATAGTCATCACCATTCCTGCCTCTTCATTTTTTTTCACCGATATCATAATAATCGAGTGAGATATTATTCGAAATTTCCCAAAAATACATTCTCTTGGATACTGCGTAATTTTTATGCCAAACAGACCGATTTATACCAATGTTCTTCCTCTGATACGCTCACGTAAATAATTTTCCATCGATCGAGAAACAAGTTGAAAAATTCGAATAATATTTGGAAACTGTGCTTGGACCGTGTAAATTGTTGGTTGGCATATGACATCCCCTGGGATTTAAAGAGCAAAATTCATTACGCTTATGCGTGCATTTTCGTCAAATAACTACACTGACCTGCACTGTGTGTGCGAGAATTGGCGTGTTTTCATAAATTTATTGAAACTTGTGAAGTTGCTCGTTAATGGATCATTAGCATCGTAACGCGTGTGGTTGAATAATTTTATTGAGAAAGTAGATTAGTTTATTTTGTTATTTTCTGTTAGCTAGACTGTGTCCACGATTTTCACGTAACTGGAAACTTGCCAACGGAATGGTAATAATCGCTTTTGTCATTCAAATAACTCCTCTTTTGGATGTACTTTTATTTATCTCAAGCGTTTTACTTTGTTTAGCCGTTTCATTGTTATTCTGTCATTCTAATTGAGATTAATTACTGAAAAGTGTACAGTTTTATTTATTTTGAGTAGCAAACATTTTATTCATACCTTTTTACCGTTTCGTTATTTATGCTTCATTGAATTCCTCCTGTACTTTCGCTTATACCGAGATGAAAAATTGCCATACTATAAGAGACGATCATACAATGCAAGTATATGCATACGCATTATACATTCTTATTATTTCTGTACTGTAGATACTTGAGAATCATTCAGTACAAATTAGGAAGACAAACATCTCGTCCGTGTAGTTTTCTATCCCATGTGTGTAATCACTATGCACGTACAATTTGTAAAGAAAAATATCAAATGTGAATTTTCTGGCAAAATGTAGCGCGAGCCGAGCAAAACAAGCTGGAGTAAGTTTGGTTTGGGGGGGGGGGGACATGCGCGCGCATCTGCGTAACCGTCACGCGATAAACGCGTGCACGCCCGCTTAATCGTTTGCGGTGCAGCTGCAGCAGGTGCAACGAAACGGCGACACGTCGTTGAATCGTGGTTAAATACTGTGATCGATTCGTCGATTCATCGTTCCGAGACGATCGTATCGTCTGAAAGTACATACCGAATAAAATACGCGTGTTCGCTAGATTGTGGATGTTAAGATGCGCGCATAATAAGGTTAGGACGATGGAGCGAGAAGAGGAGGAGGGGGGGGGGGGCGAATCGTCAGCCGATAAAGAAGAGAGCAAACAAAGTTGAACGTTCCTTCCGTTCGCTTCTGGTCGTGAATCACGCGAAAGGAATGCAATTCTTTCCTCCGACGAGCAGATTTCGTAGCCTGCGATTCGACAACGAATTTATCAGCCGCGTAAAAGTGGAAACCGTATTAGAGCGAGGGTGATATCGTTATTTACGAACGTGGAATAAGTACGTGGAAATACGGTGCCCTGGTATTTACATTGTAATTCCGGCGACGGGTTTTATTCGACCCGCGCGCTCGATTTTCCACGTAATTTTGAAAATACGTGGTGATTAATCAACGAGCTATTTCATTGCTAGCTATTGGAAAAGCACACGCCAGCTTGTACTATACCAGCGCTATAACTATATTTCTGCTATTTTTTCGTTGTAAGATAGTAACGAACGAATATTTATGTGAATTGTATCTGTACAATTTTCACAGTACATGCAAATTATTATTGACCCTTGAATCAATGGGGTTGAAGATAAAAAAATTTTATCGACTTTTTTTTCAACTCGATGCGGTTCAGCGGGCATTTATCAAATTCAATAACAAAGAGCAAGAGCGAAATGTTTTTATTTAACTTTAATCTTTTCGTTGTAAATAAAACGTATATTGTATATATTGAGACTCGCTTGAGAGATTAATGGATGAGTCATTTTAAGTAAGAATCACTTAAGCGTAGTAGCCGAAGTAATGCGAAAGTTGGATGAAATAACTTGTCGAAGGAGCCCAGACAAGCAGATAAAACGGTCACATTGAACCGTGGCCTGTCAACGCCCTGCTTGACACTCGACCGCCTCCAATTGATAAGCAGTCGGCGAAATTTCAGCCTGTCCCATTCTCAGAAGCATTCTTTTCACGAATAAGTACGCGGCGAGCGTCAAGTGTCCACTTGGTGTTGCCTGCATGTTCGAAATCTGGAAACACAAATAAGTTCAGCCGACCACAATGCACATTGGAAATATAGTTTTTTAATGATGTACATCTGAAAAATTCTTCTCGAATATAGGATCTATATATTTTTTTAGACTTATGCGAATAGGCTGCAATGAAACATCAAAAAATATCTTCGAATATTGATGTTTTTTGACTCTCAGTATATCGGTGCAAACGCATCGCGTTATAATCATGGACTTTTGAAATAAAATTATCGAAAAAAATTACGTTTTTTTTTTTTTCGAAATCTCTCGAAAACGAGGAGCTATTGCACGGTGCAATTGAGAATTTTCTGCGGCTTGCGCGTGTGCGTTCGCTGCTTTTTAAACCGTACTTCATCCATAAAGAGTAGGATCGGTTTGACCTCGTACGAGAACCCAACGCAAACGCGCGTATACTGTAGAGACTGATCCTTGCAATTGGAAGTTGCTCGTACTTCATTTTCACGATGTGGTGAAAAAAACTCTCGGCATAAAAAAAAAAAAAAAGAATAAAAACGCAGGTCGATTCAGAAAAATTCTACTCGCGTCGGTTTTATTTTTCCCGCAGGTGCACCGGCGCAGGATGCAACTTTGTACATTTTTTTATTCGCATGCTGTCCGCAGACGTCCGTGTTTGTACATCACGTGTAAAGAAATTTTTAGTTTTTAGGTTATTCCTAATACCCAAGTAAAAATTCTCCGAGCACTTAAGAAAATAAACAATTCGTCAATACGAATACTTTGTGAAAAACAAAGGTTAATGCGACTGATTGAGATTTATGCGTCTGCATATTATCGCAGTACGTATCGACTACCAAGTACGGTAACTTGATAAAAAGCATTTCATATTTTTAATTAAGCAAGAATTTAAAGAAAGGTACGTTCAGCTCTCGCGTTATTTTTGTATAGATAAATAAGAATTCGTGAGGCGATTCTAATAATATTCCCTATACGTCTTTATTTAGAAAAGAAAAAAAAAGGAGCTGCGTGTGTAAGCTATCCCAGTTACGAGAATCAACCAACCTGTATTCACACACGCGTGGCTGAGTTCACGCTGCGTCCACCGCGAGGCGCCAGCGCGTTTCCAGCGCGACCGTTTACTCTACGGTCGTGAGTCGCACGTCAACCGCTGAATGAGGTGGGTCGTTCTTCACCTCGCAGCATCACGTTACCGACAAACTGATATAAATCTCGTTCTCCGGGTAAAATTACACCAGTGTCGAGACGATACGTGTTGTCGTTTTAGAGACTCGACCAGTAAGCGCGTGAAACGTTAGTGCAACGATAGTGTTTTTTCAAAGCGCGGGAAAATTTAAAAATTGTACAAAGTACATCCTCTCGTGTAATTGTTGTTGTTGGAAGTTATCAATCAAAGGTTTATCGATCATTTAGAAAAGATTTTACCTTAAACTGACATTTCACCAATATTGTTTAGTTCTATCGAAACAGAGAAACAAAAGATTCCTGATCAATAAGAATTTTCAAGACGTGTCTCTAGACTATCACGTGGTATTGGTTACGCGTTGGTGAAACAATCGATTGTGGATCGATCAAGAGATATTGATCGAAGGAAATCGCATCGTCTTTTATTCAGAGCTGTCGAATACGTTCGAGCCCTGAATAACGTTACGATCTCGTGTGTCGATAGTTTCCTTCGAGATATTATTACGCCCGCGACGCGGCGATTATTTTCGATCGCGTTAACGATCCGTTAACGATTCAGAGACGATTCATGTCAATGTCAGCCTCGAGACCAAACGATCACAGTGTCGCATGCAGCGCGTGGTGTCAGAAAATGTGGTTCGGTTGTTCCTGAAAGTATCATGATCCAAGCGAAGTGAAGGGGGCCGAGTGGAACGAATTCCATTGGTTTGTGAGAAGTTTGGCGACGCGGACTCGCCGTGCCAAGCATGATTTTCACCGGTCGGTCAGTGGACGCTCTCGACGAAGTTCGCGGTAGCAACGTGCAGGCGGATAACCGTCGGGACGTTAGCGCCGTCGCCATAGCCGCAGGATGGTTCTCCAGTTTGCGCAGACCCGGCAAAAGGAACAAGAAGGGCTACCAAAAACAGGCCAAGAGCGCATGGGACCTCAGCACATTATCTATGGTTAGTTGAACGTTTTGTCTGGGCTGCACCTACTTTCGTGAAACGATTCTTCGCCGAGGCTCGATTCATTCCTTTGCCTTAACCTCCTGCGCTAGCTGGTTCGCGGACCATAACGAGTGACCAAACCGTAATAATTCGTCCTCTTTTTGAATTCATCGGTATATCACTGAAAGTAATAAATTTATTACTGAGAAATTCATTACTTTATTATACCGAGAAGTAATAAATTTATTATTCGTTTTGTTTGGGTTATATTTCGATATACTTAAAATTGAGAAAATATTGCAATTTTGGACAAAATACTCGATGTATGTGGCACAAGTCATTCCAACGCAAAAGGTTAAATATCGGTCTTTTTTTTTTCTTTCTTTCTTTCTTTCTTTCTTAACTGGTTGTTTTGTGCTCCAGTCCCTGGGGTTTTTCAGTAGCCTTGTAACCTGCATTTAAATATCGGTCTTTAATATTCCTCGAGCGATTTATACGGTCCGTTTTAACACTTTCCCGGCGGGATATTTGAAATGACAGTCACGTGTAAGGAATATTATTTTTATATATATATGTTATAAATAATTGTGTAAGTTTTGTTATTGTAGTATTCTAATTTTATTAATGTACTATAACAATCGAACCCCGATCGACACGACTGATTTCAGACTTTCGTTTCAATTACTTGAAAATTACGGCTGTTCTTGTCAAAGTTTAATATTAATTTCTGTTTGGACAGAAGCACGATTGCGTAAATGTATTGCTTATTCATCGTTTAAATTATAGTGCGTTTATACGTAGAATATTTCGATGAACAGTTGTTCTAGTATCAACAAATATTTTCATTCATTAATTTATATTAATATCTTTGGACAACCAAAATCAAGTATGTACACGATGATATGTATATGTGACGTCCGCCGTGAAAATGTTAAGTTCTCTTACGTCAATTTGGCGAGACTGTCCATTTTTGAAAGATTTTGATTTCATTAAAAATTGGTCAGTTTCATTCGTATTACTCACATGTACATAATATACAGTCGTGCGAAGAAATGAAAAGAGAAACATAAAGTCCGGTATTCGCGCCTGATGTGTTCACGACTGACTTTTAAACGTTCCCGCCAATTTTCGAGTCGTAAATATGCGCTTCGATAATCAAAGCATATCGCTACACGATACTCGATACGTATATGATGTACGAAGTGCAGTTAAATCTCCTGTTAACGTGCTTTGCCGTTTATTTATCTTGTTGAACGTGCGAACAGTTTCTGTCGAGCTTAAGTTTGTTTAGTCGATCGAGGAAAATCGAGATGTCTCTATTTCCATAGCATGCAACGCATGTACGATATTTAAAAATTCTCGCAACCGTGATCGCAGGATTTTATGGTCGCTCGAGTTTATTTGAACAAAGTCGAATTTGTTTAAGCCAGCAACTATATTCGCGTCGCGTAGAGAAACGCGGTAAAATGTTGAGGTTGGAAAAATTGAAACAGAACAATTGATATCCAGCCCCGACGATCGGTAATTGAGAAGTCGCCAAAAGGCGCTCTCTAAATAAATCGGAGACGGTATTAAGAACAGGGAAACGATGTAAAATAGGAGTACGGTGGCGCTCTGAAGTTGGCTGACCAGCCAAATTTATTTCTAGGGACTTAATGCCGGTGAATACTTGTGTACTCACATTCAAGCTTATTCCCATTTCTACGAGAATAAATTAAATTGTGATTTATTCAATCATGGAGATTGACACAATTTTTGAAGTATGGGAGAAGTTTAGTTATTCATGAAAAATCTGAAACTATTATTTACATTTCATTTCTTGAAATTCATTCAAAAATGAAGATCTGTTGAATCGCGTAGTGTTTGTGTTTTAAATGTAACTTATTTAATCAATAAATTATTTAATAATTAATTGTTCTTTTTTTCGAATATACTCGATATTTAGGTAGATGAAATTAGTTCTGTTATGCTCTAACAAATCGCTAAAGATATTTACGCGCAAACGTATAAGAAAAAATAAAAGTACCATAATTTCTACGCTCTTCGCAGGAACGTGATTCATTGGCGAGACACAATTAATAAACAGTTTGAATTAACACTCTGGTTTTTATATCGTTCATGTTGTTTGACAACATGATTCTAGATACACGCTACGTAAACAATATTTATTTGCAATGCGAGTGGTACCTACATCTTTAATGTACTTTGCAAAGTGTACATTAGTTGGTGAAACAAATTACTCATTTTTATTCATTGCGCCATTGCGTTGCTCTTTGTAAGAATAATATATAACCATGACCAATGAAGTTTCGATAAACATTTCTACATACCATTAACATGGCAGAAGATGACGGATGGAGATTATAGAGTTGTATGATCGACCGAGACAAATAGATAAAAATTTATATGAGCATTTTTATTGAAAAGAAGACAACAACGACCTTTTTCTTCAAGGGAACTTTATATCTACCTATAATTATATTACCTATATATAATTATATTATATATAGATAATATAACCTATATATAATTATGTTATATCTACCTATAATTATATTACCTTCCGAATGAATGGAACGAAACGAATTCGAGAAAATCGCGCCACTGCCAAACAGTTCTATCGTTTACAATGGCATCGCGCTCCTGTCGCATTCCTGCACGAAAATATCATTCCATGACGTTCCTGACGTCATAAATCGAAGATCGTACAGACGAAGCAAGTCAGGGTGACTTATTTATAGAGAGAATCAAGATACGAATGGAGTTTACGCAAATAGACGTCCATTTAATGCAGGGTTGCTTTGATCGTTGAGCTAATCGTAGAAAACCGCATTTTATTCTTCTCTTTCATTACGCGACTCATTGTCATATTCTTGATATTTCACTCGCAGTGTTAACGATTGCTTCACTCTTTTCTAATCCACGGAAGGCCAGATGAATATTTGTCAGTTCCACGTAATTATGAGCAGAAACGTAATCTAATTACACAAGTAATTTCTGATTGAAATTGCAGAAAAGGTTTGCACGTGCAACGTGCAATGTATACGCAAAAATCTTTTTTACGATAAACGTTCAAATACTTTGGTAGATGGAAAGGTATAGCTACCCTTGCTCTATCAGCGGTTAGAGGCTATCAATTTTTACGGTCGCGTCAAATCGTGTGCTCGCACGTTGAAGAAATTTATCGGGATGACGCGACCTTGCAAGCACTGCTGCTGTGAATTGCAGGCGTAATGCGAGCGCGCTTCCGTGGAACGATGCTTCCCAGAAAGCTTCTTCCCCTATCTCAAAAGACCCGGCACGATACACCTGTGTACGTACATACTTCGGTGGCAAACAGCAGGAAAGCGAAAGAACCGTAACAACGTGGGTGTATACACGCTTATTGAGAATTTACGCCGACCTAAATAGCCTGGAATCCGTAGGATCTCGAGTCTCGCGTAACAGACATGTCGAATCGTACGTCATTGAATATTTCGCGGCATGCGGATTAATCGGAAGCTTCCTCGATAAGGGAAACAAGAGGAAGAGAAAAAGCCTCGGCTCTCCTTTGTTGCCAGTTTATAGATTTATCGGGTATATCGCACGGGTACACGTGGAAATTGCGTAACCATCGTGTCGTTACGTGGCACGATCGTACACTTTGTGATATTAGTTATTCAGCTTATTCGGCAATATTTTTAGGTTAATGGGGTAACTCGGAAAGAGAACGATCCGCGGGGAATAGGACAAGCGACGACTGCTCCAAAGGAAACAGAGAAATTCTCTCCATTTTCTTTTCTTTTTTTTTTTTTTTTTTTTTTTTTTTTTTTTTTGTTCTATCTTCCTTTTTTTATTGCTCTTTGTTGGCCAATGATGTGCCTGCGATCAATGAAAACTGTCGCATTTATTCGTCGCGGCGCGTGACTGTTAAAGCGCCGAGTCCTCATAAATCGTCCGACAGGAAAAAGTGTGTCGATCGATTTCCGAGTTTCGCCGGTTGGACGTCGTTTTTACATAAATTACATTTCGCGACGAGCCAATAGTGCCATTGTTACGCGCCACAGCAGTACAAATATGTATTTCGGCGGCGAAAGTCGCCGTTTTTTTTACACGTGTAAAACACTGCACGCTCGTGGTCGGTATGTGTGTTGGAAAAAATAGTCGGATCATTTACTCTGTGTTATCTATCTGCCGCGTATATCGCGGGTGTTAAGCCATTCAACAACATTTTAACGTAGTCTAGTGTAGCAGACACTGGCTGTATGAAATGATCGTTGGGCAGGCTGTTAACTCCTTTGTCAAAGAAGGTGACAAAAACAGGCGGTGGAGTTTGTGCCGTTCATAGCTTGTGACGTTAACCTCGCAATTCCACGACAAATTAATCTAACTCGAACGTGAGCACGATTATATCTTTAGACTCGATCAGTGTATCGAGTTAAGAGGCAATTTCCGCGTTTGAAGTCGATCATGTTTCGTCTTTGCTCAACGCCGAATTATGTAACATCGGGGATGTAAATCAAAGACATTAAAAACATACATATCTGTAAGTTAAAGTTGCATCTCGCGAAACATATCAATTCACGTTTAAATGACCGTCATTTTAGCTAAAATTGCCGATCATCGTTTAACTGATCATTTTTTAATTCGAGGAACGTGAATCATCGCTGCTTCTCTCAACGTAACGTGCGTTCTGGTAAATTTTTTGTAGCGTAACGTCGCGAATCATTCGGCAAACAGATCGTAAAAGCATCGAAATTTTAACTGCTTCGCAACGCGTGAAAATTTTATTGCCATTCCGTTAGCACGCGTTCTTATCGGTAGCCACGGCACCTGACGATCTCCCGCTTGTATGGCTGTCTACCAGCGCAGCCTTAATTACTCGTTCGACGTCAACAGTTCCACGGTATCAGCGTCGATGACATCGTTCCATCATCGGCGATGATGACATATTACATAAGCCGACTCCAAAACGGGGTCATTGTTATCTCAAATGTCTAGTTAAATATTCACAAGGATTCGAAATTTCGACAAGT